AGCACCACACATTCAAACTCATCCTATCCAAGCAAATGCTCGAACAGCTCAGATATTAATGAATAAAGACACAAACCAAGAAGCATTCCGTAACTCAAAAGAAACCTAACTTACCCGGAAAGCAACCATTCTCAACGGAGAGATAAAGCTCCTACGAAAGGCGCTAAAACTATTCAAAGTTTTAACTCTAGGCCCGTTTATATGGGCCTTTTCATTATATTATTGGGCCTTTAATCCTTACTTTTTAATCAAACGTTAAATCTTATCCAAGACATCACTGTCAATGGAAACATAAGACCCTACTGGTATATCCTCACACGTGTCTGACACGCTTCGCACTCATTCAGCCGTTTGACGCGTTTCTCAACATGTTTTCTCTACTTCCGTAACTGAAAAAACCAAAACGACTCCGTTTCATGCTTTTCGAAACCCGAAACAGAACAAAGAAAAAAAGTCGTCTTTCTAGGATATAGATCCAATGTTTTTTCTCTTTGTCTCTGTCTCTCTGTCTCTGCTTTCAAACCGAAGCACTCATCATGAAAAGAGTTAAAGACTCGGTGTGGATGTGTTTGGTTTCGTGAGATTTAAAACTTGATCCTCTGTTTTTAGAAGAAGAAGAAGAAGGAAAAAGGAGTAACCTTTTGGAGTTTTTCTTCTCACTCACTTTTGTGTGTGTGTTTCGTAACGTAATCCTCAATCATAAGAAAACAATGGAGTGTTCTGTGTTTCATCATGTAGTGATTGTGTTGATGTTACTTTGGCTTCTCTCTTACTTTAACCGTTCACACGCCCTTTTCTATTTCCTCGCTCTCATCTATCTCTACCTGGTATACCTTCTCTGTTTCTCTCTCTGTTTCTGACGTTGACTTTAAAGCTTTGATCTTGATGGGTTTCCTTTTAAGGTTCATGAACGGTATGTGATGAGATTGAGGAAGAAGTTTCAGTTTGAAGAGAGGAAACAAGCTAACCAGAAACGGGTAAAATAATTCTTAATAGGGTTCTCAATTTTTGTATTTAGAGGTGTTTACTTTATAAGGTTTTGTTTTGTTTTTGCAATGAAACGGTTTAGGTTCTGTCTGATTCTGAATCGGTGAGGTGGTTGAATCATGCTGTGGAGAAGATATGGCCTATTTGTATGGAACAGATCGCTTCTCAGAAGATTTTGCGTCCCATCATACCTTGGTTCTTGGATAAGTATAGACCTTGGACCGCGGTAAAGCATATATAGACCTTTGTTTCTTGATTCCATATAGCTCTTTTGAGTCTTAGTGTGATGATTTGTGCAGAAAGAAGCTTTGATACAACATCTCTATTTGGGTAGAAACCCTCCTTTGTTGACTGATATAAGAGTGCTTCGTCAATCTACTGGTGATGATCACTTGGTATAGTTGCAAAACATAGATTATTATGGTGACTTTTGGTTTTTGATATGTATAGAACTTATGGTGAAGTGTATACAGGTATTGGAACTTGGAATGAACTTCCTCACAGCAGATGATATGAGCGCAATACTTGCAGTGAAGTTAAGGAAAAGACTTGGTTTTGGAATATGGACAAAGTTACATCTAACAGGAATGCATGTCGAAGGAAAGGTAATAGCTTTTCTGCGCATATGCTTACACCGCTCTGTTTTTGAAGTACATTTCTTTCATTATGGATACCTTTATACACTCTTGAAGGTGTTGATTGGAGTGAAGTTCCTTCGTCGATGGCCGTTTCTGGGGCGGTTACGCGTCTGTTTTGCAGAGCCACCTTATTTCCAAATGAATGTAAAACCGATCTTCACTCATGGAGTTGATGTTGCTGTGGTTCCTGGGATTGCAGGATGGCTAGTAAGTATTAAGTAGTGTAGAAAGTTTCCTCCTACTCTTTTGAGTTTTTACTCTTCTAACACTCCCACATTTTTATTATTATTTCCAAATCAGGACAAACTCTTGTCTATTGCATTTGAGCAGACTCTTGTTGAGGTAAGAGTTCCCTCATATAGCTAAGAAAATATTTTTTATTACAATGAAGCCAGCTAAAGGAAGCTTTTGTCTAACTTGCAGCCAAATATGCTTGTAGTTGATATGGAGAAGTTTGTTAGTCCACAGTCAGGAGGTAACTATTGCAGTCGATATTCAGAATCCATAACTTCTGTGTTCTGTCTTGTACTTCTTTTTTATGATTACATTTGGTGTCTGTGTGTTTTGCTTCCAGAGAATTGGTTCTTCGTTGATGAGAAAGAACCAGTTGCACACGCACTCGTTGAAGTCGTTGAAGCATCTGATGTTAAACCATCAGATCTAAATGGTTAGTCACTAAGCAAGTTAGTTTCCTCCACTTTTGAACGGCATCTTATGAACTGCTTGAATTTGGATGCTTCAGGTTTATCTGATCCTTATGTGAAAGGACAGCTCGGCGCTTACAGATTCAAAACCAAGATACTAAAGAAAACGCTCTCACCCAAATGGCAAGAAGAGTTCAAGATACCAATCTTGACATGGGACTCTCCAAACATACTCAACATTGAAGTTCAAGACAAAGACAGATTCAGCGACGACAGCCTCGGTGACTGTCAAGTAAACATTGCAGAGTTTAGAGGCGGGGAAAGAAACGATATGTGGTTACCTCTCCAGAACATCAAGATGGGGAGACTTCACCTCGCTATTACAGTAACTGAAGAGGAAGCAGCAAAGGTAGATGACCCGTTTGAAGGAGCAACAATAAGTAAAGAAGACATGTGGGCTTCTTTTGCTTTTGATGATGCAAATAAAAGTTCCTTCTCTTCAGTGGTCTCTGATAAGTCTCCAAAGGTTAGGGATAATCTTGAACCAATCAACATTGAAGGACAAGAAGAGACTGGAATATGGGTGCATCAACCAGGAACTGAAGTCTCACAGATATGGGAGCCGAGAAAAGGCAAGACTCGTCGATGCGTCGATAACAATATACTTGGAGTTGTTACTCATGAGAGTACTACTGGTAGTAATGAAAGCAGCAGCCCTGATGAAAACCAGGAAGGGAAGAACACGGTGAAGTCTGTTGGTCGGGGATTGAAGAAAGTCTTCCATAGGAATGGGAAGAAGGAAGAAGAGTCAGGGAACTTGGAGGAGGATGTCAGGTCTCCTAGGGTCAACTTGAAGGCGTTAAACCGAAAGGATGTTGGGGTTAAGTACATCGTTGAAGACCGTTTATCAGGGCCTCTGACAGGAAGAAGTCCAAAGGGTGAGAGCTTTGGTTCTGAAGATGCTCAGAACAAGGGACACATGAAGGATGTTGCAAAGAGTATTCTTAAACACGCTGAGAAGTCTGCAAGACATATAAAGCATGCGTTTTCGCGTAAAGGGTCAAGAAAATCAAGAGATGATGAGTGCTCAACCGTTCCTGAGAATGAGTCTCTGTCCGGTTCTGAATGTCAATGTGAATATTCTGATGATGATACTGCAGTTAGCAGTGTGCAGGGGACACCAAGAACAGCAAAACCTGAAGGTAAAGTTGTGAGGGCAGGAGAAGATGATCATGTAAATACATCAGCAAACTCTAAAGAAGCAAAGGTACAAAAAGTAAATCCAGCGATCTTGGAAACTACACATATGGATGCTTCTGCTGGAGCTGAGAAAGTCACCACGCCAAAAAATGTCTCATGATAGAAAGGAAATATAGGTATAATAAAAGGCTTGTTAAGTTTGAGTAGTTTTTAAGTTTACGACAAAGGAATAATGTACAGCTTTTGAATTTTGAGTCGATGTTCTCCTATTGAAGAATTTTAATTCTTATTGAAGTTGAATTTTTAAATGTTTTCTTTCAGTACTGCCGTTCAATATGTAGTAAATTGTTTTGCGTTAATAATTTTTTTTTTGAAATATTATTTAGATTTTATTTGATTTTATGTCTTTAAAAATTATAATAGGAAACTATTAATTCGACATAAAATGTCTAAAATTTATGTAAAATGAAACCAAACAAATAATAATAGTTTTTAGTTATCATTGAAAACATTTAAATTGAATAAACTAAAATAAATATAGATTTAGAATGATAGTTATATTTTAGGACATTACAAAAACAACGTAAAACTGTATCAATATCCATGCTAAACAAATATAATATCATTTTTATCTTGAAAATAACAAAATACTAATTTCATTTCGCGTAAGACGCGGATTATTACCTAATTGACATGTTATAGTGGTATCAACAACAACAAGTGATTAGGTTATATTCCTTATAGTCACCAACATACTTCAACAAAGTATTCAAAGAATCAAAAATTTGGAACAGTAAATGAAAGTGTTCCAGAAAAAAGAGCACTGCCTGAAAACCATAAAATTATTTTACCAATGACTAGGTGTCTTAATACAACACTAATCTTGAGTTGATAGTAAAGTTGTTTTGTATAAATTTACAAAATTTTCATATCATATACATATAAATGTTTTCCGCCTTTATCGTCTTTCTTGAACATGCGAGTAGGTGTGGGCGTTTTTAACTCAACCCAAAGTACCGACCTTAATCCGAATCGGAAAAACCGAAATCGAATCCGAACTGTTTTACAAAAATATCCGAACGGGGCTTATGAACTTACTACTTTGGAATTTGGTTATAACCCGAACCGAACCGAAATCCAAATTAGGATCCGAAGATATCCAAAACTAGTTAAATATGTTAATGTTTTTATATATGTTAAGGTGATTTAAATATTTTCGAGTATTCAAAATATTTTTGTAGTTTATTTTATTTGTTATTTTGAATATTTTTAGTTAATTTAGATAGTTTAACTAATTTTTAATGATTGTAAATAATTTCTATATTTAAAAAAAATTGTCAATTTTTGAGGTTTAAAAAAAAAAAATTTAGACGATTTTAAACATTGGTTAGATCCGATCCGATCCGTACCCGGAAGGAACCGAACCAAATCCGATCTGATAATTAGTAAAAACCGAATGGTACTTATGAACATAACACCAAAATACCAAAAATCCAAATCATCCGGACCGATACCAAATAGACCACCCAACGCCGATGCGTACATGCGAGTAACTAACTAGCTAACTAACTAATTGAGGGAGATTTCAACGAACCATAATTTTATCGGCTGACAATACCAGCTATATTATCTGATTCTTTTATGTATCAACATTGTGTTCTCTTGCAGACCAAGAGCTTAAGCTTGGTTCCGTGTCTATAATGCCCCCAAGTATGGTCTCCTAGATCATACTTCCTCTGTTTCTTAATATATGATGTTTTGGGTTGGTACACAAAAATAAGAAATTTACATTATTCTAAAAAATACTTTAAAAGATATAATATTATAATCATTCAACCAATTAAAAAATGTAAAATTTTATTGGTTAAACAGTTTCCAATTAAATTAAAGTTAACCTTAAAACCTTAAAAGATATTTTAAAACTTCAAAATATCATATATTTTGAAACAATTTAAATCTTCTAAAACATCATATAATTTGAAACGGAGGGAGTATCATATATAAATCTATACTATTATTTGCGAAGTGATTTTTCGCAACAGAACTCTCACGTTAAAAGTTGGAGTGGTTAATATCGTTTGTACCCTTAATGAATAAAATATATAAATTAGACATAAAATAAAAAATAAATTGATATTTATTTGATTAGAGATATGATTTAAATTAATAATAATGATAAGAATTATCCATAATCTAAATATATATTTAAAAATAAAAAAAAGATAATTCTTATATATATTGTGTTGTTATCCGGAAAATATATTTTAATAAGAAATCAAAAACAGAAACACATAAATATTTAAATACTCATAAAGAAACTTTTTAATTGTACATAATTGAAAAGAGAAAATTGAAAAATTTATAAGACGTAATTATTTTCATATTAAAAGAATATAATAATATAACATAATGAATAAAATATATAAACCAGCCATAAAATAAAAAAGAATTTAATATTTATTTGATTAGATAAATGACTTAAATTAATAATAATGATAAGAATTATCCATAATCTAAATATATGTTGAAAATAAAATAAAAAGATAATTCCTAGATATATATTGTGTTGTTATCTTGAAAATATATTTTAATAAAAAAATTCAAAAATAGAAAACACATAAATAAATATTCATCATGTACAATTTTTAGTTGTATATAATTGAAAAGAAAAAAAAATGAAAAATATGTTACGTAATTATTTTCAAATTAAAAGAATATAATAATACAATATAATGATATATATTTGTGAAGTTATTTTTCACCTCTGAACTCACACGTTAAATTAAATCAAATTTTATATTTTATGCAAGATCAATTTTTGATTGTATATTTATCGATTCAATTTTTTAAATTAAAAGATAGATTTCTATATTTTTATCAATTAAGAAGAAATGAAATAGACTTTAGATTTTTCAAAGATTTAAAGGAAAAATAGATTTGTTTTTAATTTGTGAATAAATTTATTATGTAATTTTTTTTAATGTTTTAGATCGAATTTTTTGAACACAAATAATCATTTATTTAGATGATTTTTAAATGATATTAAAGATAATTAAACTCGCATGTGCGAGCAAAACACCTAGTTATAACTCTATAAGTGACTGATTCTCGTCTCTGCGTTTTACTTACTCCAATCAAGTGGCCCAGAAATTAAGACACTCATAATGTTCTAGGATCAGATCTTCACACATGCTCTAGGTTCAGACCTGGCATACCTTCCCTGAAGGCAATATTTCTTTTTAGAACTTCTTCTTATAATTAACTACTGATGCATTCAGCTAATCTAGTTACTATTTGAACATATTACCTTCTAATATATTCATATATCGAGACCTTTTTATCCCATAATTGAATATTCATACCATCTTGTGCGCTGGTTATACAATTTAAAATAACAAGAAAGACATTCATTGCTTCCAAGAAACCTATTAAGGGCCTTCACATGCTCTTAATGGGCAAACCAATTATAAAATTTTATTGGGAGAAAGTGGATCAGCAATGGCTACCGTTCATCTGATATCATCTTCACTCTTCATCCAATCCAGGGGAAGAAGATACAACTCCATATCCTCTTTCAAGAGTCTCCAGAAACGCACAGTTTTGTCTCTCTCGTCTGCTCTCACCTCACAAGGTGGAGATATGATTCCACCAGAGGGAAAAGGCAATGATCGCAACCCCAACTTTGACTTCAAGTCCTATATGATAAGTAAAGCCGAATCTGTAAACGCAGCTCTCGACGTGTCCGTACCGCTTTTCAAACCCCTCACGATCGAAGAGGCGGTGCGATACTCATTGCTAGCGGGTGGAAAACGTGTGAGGCCTCTGCTCTGCATTGCTGCCTGCGAGCTAGTGGGTGGCGACGAGGCCACTGCCATGTCATCCGCTTGTGCGGTGGAGATGATCCACACAAACTCTCTAATTCATGACGACCTTCCCTGTATGGACAATGCGGACGTCCGCAGAGGCAAGCCTACCAACCACAAGGTATGTTTTTAAATCATTAAAAATAGTTATTAGATAGTTGGCCTTCCAACATAAAACCAATAGAAAAATGGATTGGTGCATCTTTTTATATACTCCTTCCGTTCCGAATTAGTTATCATTCTAGAGAAAAAAAATTGTTTTAAAACAAGTGTCGTTTTAGAGTTTCGAGGCAAAATTTATTAGTTTGATATGATATTCTATTTATCTATTGGTTAAAAAATGGTTAAGTGTATAGGTAATTATGTTTTTATCTTGGAAATATGTAAAATTAAATATGTACCTTAATTTGTGTGTAACAATTAAAGTGAAACGGATGGAGTATTACTTAAGATCTTTTCCAGTTTCTAAAACGAGACTTTGTTCCTAATCGTGCTCACTGGTGTTGAATATTTCATTGGTGTTAATGCATGCTCACTAGTGTTGAACCAAATTTTGCGCAAACTAGGTATTTGGAGAAGCCATGGCTGTTTTGGCAGGTGACACACTTCATGCTTTGGCGTTTGAGACCATGACGGTCATGTCAAGTGGGTTCATCTCTCCCGAGAGGATGGTTCGCGCTGTTACTGAGCTCGCCGGGGCCATAGGGACAAAAGGGCTAGTGGCAGGGCAAGTTATTGACCTAAGCAGTGAAGGATTAAATCCAGAGGACGCTGGATTAGAGCGTCTAGAGTTCATCCACCTTCATAAAACTGCGGCATTATTGGAGGCAGCGGCGGTTATAGGGGTTATAATGGGAGGTGGAACAGATGAAGAGATAGAGAAGCTTAGAAAGTATGCGAGATGTATCGGGCTGTTGTTTCAAGTGGTTGATGATATTCTCGACGTGACTAAATCTACTGAGGAATTAGGTAAGAGCGCAGGAAAAGACGCCATCGCCGGAAAATTGACGTATCCAAGGTTGATCGGTTTGGAGAAATCGAGGGAACTGGCGGAGAAACTGAGAAGAGAAGCAGAGGAACAGCTTCTAGGGTTTGATTCGGTTAAGGCCACACCTCTAGTGGCTCTGGCTAGCTACATTGCCAGCAGAAACAATTAATTCTTTGCAGGAAATGTTGTCTGCGATCATTCGTCATGTTTGTTTCAAACCTACATATAATCAAGTTCCTCTTTTATGTTCTTATTTCATATAAACAATAAAAGGTCTATTGCTTTTCCAGATTACCTTCTCTTCTCCTGTTTTACCGTTTCTCATGTGTACAATCTCCAAAACTTAGGTCCCGCTTGATATGTACTTTTTGCGGCAAGGAAACTTTAAAATTGTAGAAAACTTTAGTGGCTATAAGCCTGTAACCATAAATCTTAAGAAGAAATAGGAGACAATATTCGATTGCGTGAGTTTCGAAGATTGTAATACGTAACTCTTATGAGAGTCTAAATACATATATGTCCCGATGCAATTTTGTCACTTACAAAATAACTAAACCAGATCCTTGTTACATTGCTTCAAATATGTTCGACTAAGTAAATTTTTTAGAATTAGTAACAAGATAAAGTTGTTTTAAAGTGAGACTAGCTATGTAGATTATTATTCGCTTTCATAATTATTTAACCACATAATAATTTGTTCAAACGTGAGACTAGCACAATACCTGGATAGACGTCACCCCGATCATACTAGTGGTGCAATCTTCCAAAATATTGGCATATATACGTTATTACTTTATGGTGTAAGCAGACATACGGAACATGTGAACATGTTAGATTCTTTGTTAAGTTATATTAGCTTCAAATATATATATATATATATATATATATATATATATATATATATATATATATATATATATACTTTAGGATCCTTGTTAACTATTCTTGTGGGAGACTTTGTCTTTAATATGTCTCCTAGAAATGATGATTTTTTTGAGCGCCAATTTCAGGATCTTTGGACTATCGATGGGTCGACGTTGGACCAAATCAATGTGTATCAGGTTGGATTGTATAGATTGGATTTTGATACCATATTAAGTTACATGAGACAGATCAATGTGTATCGAGTTGGATTGTATAGATAAGATTATGATATCATATTAACTTGACTTAATAAAACTAGTTGATTTTACGTTGGAAACGTATCTAACTTAACATTTTTAATGGACAATTCACTTAAATTATGTTTTTTTTTTCATTTTCCTGGTTCCCATATATGATATTATTTATGTTTTATTTTAGTTGTCGTTTTAGGTTTGTGCACACAGATTAAGACAACTTTGATTTTACATATTGTTTTAAATAAAAACATCATTACCTATAAATTTTACCAAATTTCAAACAATAAAAAATAGAATATCATATAAAAGTAATAAATGTTGGGTTGAAATCATAAAATGACATTTATTGTGAAACGAAAAAGTTATTCTGCAATGCCCACTAAATTAAAACAAAATGAATATATCCGTACAAACCCTAAAGGCTAAAACTAAAAAAAAAATTTAACTTCATTTATTCCTTCATTCTTCTTTTCCAAAAGGGATACTGTTTTGAATACAAGGTGAAACACTTAAATAAAAGACAACCAACTTGGGACGGCTAAGATGCATTAAAAGAAACACATGTGAAACAGTGACTTGGCGATGCTGAAATTCCAGAGAAGACAATTGCTAGGAGTCGAAATGGCGAAACCAGAGGGTGAAGGTAAGTTTCTGAGTGTGCTGAAGATTGCTGCAAACGCTGAGGTCTAGAAGAAATTCTCATTCGATCCAGTCCAAACAACTTAGGCTTAGTAAGAACCTTAACCTCTTTGACCAGAATGTGGGATGGCTTACTAGTTGAAGTATGCAATCTGAGATTTCTTTCCTTCCACAGAACATATAAACTAGCTTGAACAAGGAGGTAGCAAATATCTTTGAGCTGTGAATTACCTGCTGGTCCAGACTTCTTGGGAATAAGGACAAGCAAATAATAAGTGGTCACGGTTCTCGTCCGAAACATCACAAAGCAGACATAACTAAGAAACATTCATTCCCCACTGCTGTATTCTGTCTTTCGTTGGCAATCTATTCAGAATCGCCACCCACGAAAGAAATGCATGCTTAATTTTGAGAGTGATTTTTTGACAAAAACTTAAAAAGAGCTATTTGAGAGAATTATCCTTAATTATATGACTTTAAATATGATATCATTTAATTATATAAACTATGAAATACAATAACCTTTTTGTTTTGTTTTTTATTTTATTTTATTTTGGAGATAGCCTACGAACTAGAGAAAATAAAGGAATTCATTTTTAGTTGTTGAAAAATATAAGGCTTATACTTATAGAAAAACATTTATTTCATTTGTATAATATAAATTCTACAATCATTTGATATAGTAATACTTGTAATTATGATTAATCATAAGGTTGTAGTTTATTGGTAGACGGATTCTTGCGAGAAGGAGAATGGGCCCTTGTCCATATAAAAATCTGAAAAGAAGGTATATCCACTGGCATACATCTCCTTTTGAAGATTAATTTGTGCTTGTAACACTCTCAAACCATTTTAGGCATATCAAGGACATGACCGGTAGACCGACGAATATCAAGGATCTAGAAACGTTACGTGACAGACTAGGGACGATCCGATCAAATTCAGATAACTTAATCTGCAATTTAGACCAGTTTTATCCTCTAAAACATCCCGTTAAAACAAGACTTAAAACTCTGAACCTGTATTATAAGTTAAAAGTTCCGTAAGATCGAGGCCTAATTCTTTTCAATCCATACCAACACGTCCTCGCTCTTCTCCACTCCCCCTTAGTGGTGGATCTAGAGAAGATTTTTACATGTGTCAAACATATAAATAGATGTCAAATATGAAGATAACATGGTTCAAAATCCAAAACACATATGAACTATAAAGAGAAAATCAAAATTTATGGTATGTCATTTGACCCCCCTTAGTATCAAATAGGTGTGCCTTTCCCCCCCCCCCCCTTCCTTTTCCCTCTTCTTACTCTTTTTTCAGTAAACTTTCAGATACTATACCATATGATCATTAAATATGAAATCTTTTATTTTGTACTATCAATTATACTTTTTCATTTGTTATACTTTACATTGAAACATTTCTCATACGTATAAATATACTTATGATATTATATACCACTCAAAGTGCATTAAATTCTACATTTATATTTCCTATAGTTATATTTTTTTTCATTCCAACAATCTATTATTTATAAATAGTATAGTATTTTTTTGTAATGTGTTTTTATGTACTCCCTCTGCTTCTATAGATCTATATTCTAGAGAAAAAATTGTTTCAATATATTAATTAATAATAAATTGTCAGTTTCAGAAAACTTAATTGTGTTTATTAAAATTCTATTGATTAAAAATTATTAGGAATTGTTAGGTACAAAAATAATACATTGGTAATTAATATTTTATATGTTTTTTAATATGTATGACAAATCGCCATGCGATACATCGTACAAAAGTATTTGTTTTTTTTGTTGAATTTCTCGGATGAGAATCTCATTTGCATTTCTTACCACTTTTTACAACTTTTAATACATTTTTAATGAAACCATCTGCTGAGATATTCTCACCTCCAAAAATTTATGCTCATATACTCCTCTTTTATATTTTACTTTCTACTTCATTTAATTTGAAATTGCTGTAAAAACCCAAATACACGATGACTAATCTAAATAATTATGGATTCTGCCATTCTGAGTTTAAACCTAAAAACTCTTCTAATCTGTAATCTCGCTAACACCTTTTCTCATTCTCATATTTTTATTTTTTTTCATCGTTAAGAAAATATTAAGTTATGCATATTTTTCTAAATAAAAACATCATTGCTTATATACCTAACCACATTTCAACCAATAAAAAAAGAATAACATAGAGTTAATAAATTTTACATTAAAATCATATAACGCCACTTATTTTGAAACACAAAATTTACGTACAATGATATCTAAATTTAAACGGAAAGAGTATATCCATACAAACCCTATATGCTAAAATTTTAAACTTGCACCTACATGGGAGTTACCGTATTTATTAGGGAACACATTACAATTGATTAGTGGCTTTTCATTTCCCAATTGTTCTTGTGTTTTCCAATACAGTAAAACTCAATAAATTAATAATGTTAAAACTTTAAAATTTTATTAATTTATAGATATATGAATTTACAAAAATTTTCATATTTATATTTCTTATTAAGATGTATTTAATCCAAGACAAAAAGACAAGAAAAATATTTGATTTTAGTGTATAGACATTAATAATTAATTTTTAAAATTTGACTTTTATATTAATTTTATATATTATTTGGTGTATATAATATATATTGCATATAATTTAAATGTGGTTTTAGATATAATATTACTAAATCTTATCAAAAATATATTAAGTGTTAAGAAAATATAAAGATAATTTCATTGTAAATATAAAACAAATAATATAATGATAGGTTCTTACATATACAAAATATGTATACATATAAATTATGAATTTATAATTTTAATGAGACCATATATTTACATAGTTTCTAAGAACTTATTATCTTATTATTTTATCAATTTGTGTCAAATTTTGAACGATCCAAATTAGAACTAGTGAAATTTATTAATTTATAAATATTATTAATTTATCAAATATTAATTTATATAAGTTTTTCTGTATTTTTGTTTTTCTGTATTTTTGTTTGTCGGCTTGGAAATTGGACTTGTCCAGGAGAATAGTTACCTATAATTTATGTAAATACCCCTAATATATATGTAATTTAGTGTGCTCCATACTGAATGAGTTGGTGGATTCACCCCTTGACTCGTCTCATCGTAAAGTTGTCATAAACCTATAAATTTTTAATCTTATTCAATTTCTATTCTTCCAAAGAGCAAAAAATATTATTTTCTAGAACATGTATCTTTCTTAGACGTAAGAGATGTAAAATTATAAATAGATTAAGATCCACAATATCTAAAAATAAAAATCTTTTAATTTAAAAAATAAAAAAATAGTTTTTAATATCTACTCCATTTAGTTTTACTTTAGGTTTAGTTACTTAAATAAAACGTGAGAGCAAGTTGGATTAATTAAAGCTTAAAACCCGACTGTGGAAGAAAAATCGGACACCATTATCACATGTTACTTGGGACTCGTCTCATCGTGAAGTCGAATAAAAAACCTGACACCATTATTCCTGGATCCCATTTGTAA